GCTGGCTCTACTGAGACCGGGACAGCTACAAACCAACAGTGCCAGGGGCCAGCCGTGCTGAGACCGGGGTAGGCACAAACCAACTGGGACAGGTGCAAACCAACAGTGCCAGGGGCCGGCTCCGCCGAGACCAGGGCAGGTGCAAACCCAGCATGTGCAAACCCACACTGCTAGGGCCAGGACTGTATCAGGTGCAAACCTACGCTGCCAGCGGCCAGCTCCGCTGAGACCGAGACCAGGACAGATGTAAACCCAGCAGGCACAAACCTGCACTGCCAGGGGCCAGCTCTGGCGAGACCGGGGCAGGCGCAGACCAAATGGAACAGGCGCAAACCCGCGCTGCCAGGGCTCGGCTCCACAGAGACCAGGACAGGCCCTGGGCTCCAGTCCCAGCCGTTGAGTCCCCCAGTGAGCTGTCACCAGGGGGCACCCCCTACCCCAGCTCAGGCTCCTGTCCCCCATACCTGCTCGTGAACTTGCCCGGTTCCTCCTCCCGTGCCTGGTGGAAGTCCAGGCTCAGCTCCGCATCGATGCCAATTCCACAGTAGTTATTCATCTGGACGATCTGGGGACAGGGACGTTTTCTCCTGAACCCCTGTGACCACACAAGGTGCTCCTGGGTTCCACCCATCTCCTCTGTCCTATCGGAACTGCCTTTTGCCTCGTCACTCTCCTGCTCAATCCCACCATGGCTCCCCAGTACCCTGGGGGAAGCAGCACACCACCCGGCACAGCAAGGCCCTAAGAGGCCCGGGCGCAATCACCCAGCGAGCCCAGATCCACCCAGGACCCCGCCCTGTGGTGTGTCAGGGCCAGCCTTCCAGTGCACAGGACAAGGGCTCGCTCTAGGCCACACCTTGGGAGGCTCCACATCGGCCACACTGTTCTCTGTGCCACTGGCCTCCTGTGCGTCCAGAAGGATGGTCCAGCGGTCCATGAGCACAGCGTCAGCCTCATCCACGGACACCAGCACAGAGAAAGGGTCCTCTCCACTGTAGCCGGCCCCCCAGCGGAGCACTCGGCCAAGGTCATTCCCTGAGATGTGAGTGCAACACAGAGTTAACTCTAGACTCTCACAGGTTCATCAGTGGGGTGAAGACCACTGCAGGGAAGGCCTGGGGTGCAGAGGGTACCACGGGACAGATCCAGGGTACGGGGGGCACCGTGGGGCAGGCCCAGGGTGCAGGGGGCACCTTGGGGCAGGCCCAGGACAGTGTGGGGACAGAGGACACCTCAAGACAGGCACAAGGCATGGGGGGGGTACTGTGGGGCAGGCCCAGGGAGCGAGGGTCACCATGGGTTGACCCAGGACAGTGTGGGGACAGAGGACACTGCGGGGCAGATCCAGGGCGTGGGGAGGACCACAGGGCAGGCCCAGGAAGAGAGGGGCACTGTGGGGCAGGGCCAGGACAACGTGGAGACAGAGGATACGATGTGTCAGGCCCAGGACATGGAGGGGACAGCGGACACTGTAGGGCAGGCCCAGGACAATGTGGGGACAAGGACACCATGGGGCAGGGCTGAGGTTCAGTACAGGAGGGGGCCCACCCAGGGCGGAAGGCGGGAGATGGCTCGGAGCCCATCTGGAGTGAACCCCGAGGTGGGGAAGGGACAAGGCCCTCGGCGCCCTCCCCAGCCCGGGTTGCACCCACCTGTGCCCAGTGGCAGGATGGCCACGGAGGGCTCGGGGCAGGCCAGCCGGTGGCGCGTCTCCTCCAGGGCACCGAGCACCCAGCCCACGGTGCCGTCCCCCCCACACACCAGCACCCGGAAGCGGGGGGTCTGGGAGAACATGTGGAACCTAGAGTGAGGGAGACAGGACATGTCCCCCACGGCCCCAGGAACCCTGACCTTCCCAGGGGACATGCTGGGGCAGAGGTGGAGGCCAGGAAGGAGGCCGCCCCAGTAGCGTCTCCAGCCCACTGCAGGGACCCAGGCCGCCCCACGCTGTGGACCACACTCACCCGGGGAGAGGCCCCCCGTTGGTCAGCTCAAAGACCTGGTGTGGGTTCAGCAGCTTCCGGAAACTGTAGAGCAGGTCTCGGCCCTTGAGGCCCCCGCTCTTGGGGTTCACGAACACGAGGAGCGGGCAGCAGTCTGGGGGCAGCTTCTCATGCTGGTAGAAAGGGGCTGGGTTAGGGTGGGGGGGCACAGAGTCATCCCCCACCTGGAGTTGCCTAGTATCACCATATGACTGTCCCCAAACCCAGTAACCGAGTGACTGCCCCACCCACACCAAGCAGCGACCGAGAGACTGCCGCACAGGCAGTGGCTGAGAAGTCGTCCCCACACTGGCCGGAGCCCGAGTGACCGCACGAGCGTTCACCCTACACGCCACGCTCAATGCCCCCGAGGCTGGGCAGTGGCAAAGTGACAGAGTACCCACACTTTGGAAAGTGGCCGAGTGGCTGCCCCACACTGGGCAGTGATGGAGTTAGCGTGCCCCACAGGCCCCTCGGAGCAGCTCCAGGCACCCTCTCATGATGGGCCGTGCATGCCCACAGGTCCCCCGGATCAAGGGCACTCTCTAACAGAAGCTACAGTCACACTCTCACGTGAGGTGAGGCGGCCACAAGACCATGCCCCAGATAGCTGACCACTCACAGCACCTCACAGGCTGCAGCGGCCCGGGGTGAAGCGGGTTGACAGTGGCCTGTGAGATGGAACTCCAGCCCAAGGGCCACGGAGCCGTGGACCAGGTGCCACTGGCTGGGCAGGTGAGGCTGCCCCAGAGGGCCACCTGCACAAAGAAGATTGTGCCACCTGGTCCAGCCACTCACACGGTCTCCAGGGCCACACGCCTCCTCAGTGACAAAGCCCGTTGTCCACAGGCCACCCCAGAGAGAGCAGCACTCAGTAAGGACAGGGAAGGTCCGCTATCCACAAGGCACGAGGTCTTTACAGGGCGTGGTCCCACGCGACCACAGCTGGGGTCCCCACAAGGTGGGGTGACTACAGGAGACAGACAAGCGGGGTTCAGACAAAGGGGGCTGCTGACTGCACACGGGCTCCACCGTGGCTTACGGAGGGGACACACAGCAGCTGGGGGCCCCCGAGGTCCTGACTTAGTGCCTCGTCCACGGGCAGACGGCTGACAGAGGCATTCGGCGCACTGGCACTGCTGCCCGCTCTGCCAGGCCCCTGCCCCGCGCCTGCGTCCTCCAGCAGGACAGCTGGCACCAGGCGCACACACCAGCCCTGCTCTCTTTAGCGTCCTGTAGCCTGGGGTCAGAGGTCAGGGGCAGCCATGAACCCCTGAGGCCGCAGCATAGCAAGGTGGCCAGGGGTCCTAGTCTACCTGTGAGCAGGCAGTCCTCAGGGCAACAGTCCAGACAGGGAGCATCACCTACCACCAGGGGCAGGGGCCGTGGGTCCCCCAGGTGGAACCCACCAATGCCTGGTGACCAGAGAGGGCAGAGCAATGGGACGGCCTCCCCTGGGCACCATGGGCGCTCAGCACCACGGCGCAGGAGGGCCCAGCTGTCCTCTGCGAACCAACCGTGTGGACAAGCAGGCCAAGCTCGGCCATTCACCTGCCAGGCGGCCTCAGAGGGCCCCTCACCCGCTGACCTCACGCCCACAGGGTCCAGCAGGGATGACCGTGACCCTCCTGACAGGGTCACAGCCTACAACGCACCTGGCCGCCTCGGGCAGGCACCCTCTCCCAGAACGCAGCGAGGCGGAGGGAAGCTAGGTGTGTCCGCAGCGGCCTTCAGGGTGTGGGAGCGACGTGTGTGGAGGGGACGAGGGGAGGGGGGAGGTATTGGGATGTGTGTGCACAGGGGAAGGCGGGTAGGGGGTGAAAGGTGTGTGTGGTGAGGGGGGTGTGGGAACACGAGTGTGTGTAAGAGACGGGGGAAGAGTGAAGGAGAGGTGTGTGTGAGAAGACAGTGTGGATGGGGGAACGTGAGATGGAGAAATTGGGGAGGAAGGTTCTGCATAGTGTGGAAACGAGGTGTCCGTGTGTGCAGGCACGTAGGTGTGAGCGTGGAGGTGCGGAAAGGTGTGGAAGGGGAGGGGTGTGTGTGCAGAGGTGTGTGTAAAAGGGCTGTGTGTGTGTGTAGACGTATATGTGTGGAGAGGTGTGTGTAAAAGGGCTCTGTGTGTGTGCAGAGGTGTGTAAAAGGGCTGTGTGTGTGCAGAGGTGTGTGTAAAAGGGCTGTGTGTATGTGTGCAGAGGTGTGTGTAAAAGGGCTGTGTGTGTGTGCAGAGGTGTGTGTAAAAGGGCTGTGTGTGTGTAGACGTATATGTGTGGAGAGGTGTGTGTAAAAGTGCTGTGTGTATGTGTGCAGAGGTGTGTGTAAAAGGGCTGTGTGTGTGTGGAGAGGTGTAGGTGTGTGCATGCATGTAGGTGTGCACATGGAGGTACAGAAAAGTGTATGGGGGAGATGTATGTGTAGAGGTGTGTGTAAAAGGGGGCTGGGGGTTTGTGGAGAGGTGTGGGTGTGTGTAGTGTGTATTTACAGGTATGGAAAAGGTGTGTGTGTGTGTGTGTGTGTGTGTGTGTGCCATGCCGAGGTCATCGCCCCACCTGAGATTCAGCAGGCCAGCCTCACCCCAGGTCCCGCCTGCACCCCACCTGGCCCTGCCGCCCACTCACCAGCACGTCGGGCAGCACCAAGGCCGTCAGCTGGCGGCCCTGCACGGCCGTGTCCCTGACCAGCATGTAGAGTCGCTCGGCCTCCGCGAAGCAGGTGACGTCCAGCACCAGGGCACCTGCACAGGTGGGCCGTGAGCTGCAGCGGGGCCGAGCGCCACCGGCCCAGCACGGCAGGCCCAGCATGGGGCTTCAGCCACGTCCCACACACCACGGCCAGTTCAGGTCAGCCACCCAGGGGGGCCACACCTGGGCTCTGGGCTCTGCACTCTGTCCCTCGTCCACCCTCCCCAAGAAGAGCCTGGGGTCACTGGCCGGGCCCAGAGACACTACTGAGGGGCAGCAGGGCACGTCTTCAGAGTGGACACAGAGGGACAGAGAAAAGCCACAACAGATACGACGGGACAAGGGCGGGTGCCTCTGCCAGACCCCCACTGAATCCCAAGAGCCTACATCCAGCTTGCTGGGGGCCCACCGGAGACGTGAGCCTAGAGGTATGTCACCGCCACCCAAATGGACGGGAGCTGTCACGGCCAGGAGTTGAGGGCCTCGCTGTGCTGCCCCCACTGCTAACCCTTCCTGGGCTCTAGGAAAAAGGTTTCTGAGCAGAAATGCATCACAGCAAAGCCTGGTACAAATGACAGGCCCCTGGAGGGATCCCCAAGAGTAGGGAGCGAGCTAGGCCTGTCCATCGAGTCTAAGAAATGGCCCTGAGCCAGCCCAGGTCCCTGCAGGCGACACTCACCTTGCGAGGGGTAGATGTGACTCACAGTCACCACATCAGCTGCAAAGAGAGACAGGTTTGAGGCTGCTGGACACCCCGTGACTCCTGCCCACAGCCCCACCTCGTCCAGGGCCGCCCAGCACTGCCCAGCAGGGCTTAGCCCCCACCAGAGCCCATGCCCCCCACCCACCGGACTCCCAGGGGACACAGGGCTGGACATGGGGTGGCGACTAGGCAGGGATGGCGAGGGGTGACAGAGGCCCAGAACCCTCTTAGATCTGTGGGGACACAGCCTTGAGGCCAGGGGTGAGGACAGAGGGCAGCCTGGCTGGAGCAGAGCTGCAGAGGATACGGAGGGAGGCAACAGATTTTTCTAGGGCTCCCCATCTTCCCGGAGCCCTGCAGGCTGGAAGTCCAACCTTTGGCGCCCACGGCATCCTGCAGCAGGGGGCCGTACTCCTGGGAGGCAAGGCCGGGCGGCAGGCCACCCACAAACAGGGAGACTCGGGGCTCCGGCGGCCGGCTCTCCGTCACGTAGAAGCGCGTCTGGCTCATGTGCCGCAGGGACGTCTGGGAAGAAGGACACGGTGCTGGACACTGGGGACACCTCTCCCCCTTCTCTGCTCTCCACATCCACAGAAAGCGCTGGGGAGACTGCCTGGCTGGACTCGGGTCAAAGCCAAGCAGAGACACGAGGGGGCCTCCCCTTACAAGGCCTGCCCCGAGGAGCTCAGAGAGGCCACATGGCGTGGGACGCCCATGGTGTGAGACGCCCCCTGGTGTGAGAGGCCCATGGTGTGAGACGCCCCGTGGTGTGCAACACCCCATGGCATGGACAATAAAGCCGGCAGAGACGTCCAGCCTCAGGGCCAGCAGGGGTGGCCCACTAGCTGCAGCCCCACTCTCGCTGGTCCGGGAGTGAGGATGGGGGACACAGTAGAGAGATCTTGGCCTGGTCTTGCCCGAGGACGTGAGTCAAAGTTGGGGACGGACAGAGAACAGACCCCGCCTCTGTGCTCAGACCTGCCGGATGTCCTGGAGCCGGTCCAGTATGAGCTCCTCATCGGCCAGCACCGTCCGCTGAACTACGGGGTGAAGACATGGCCATGAGCCCCGGGCGATACCCAGAGAGCAGCAGGCACCCTCTGAATGGCTACCCTCAGTCCCCAGGAGGCCCAGGTCAGAGATGGGCAGGACCGCAGCCCTGGGCTGCACCGGGGCAGAAAGGTCAGAGGCGCGGCAGCAGCTGGAGCAGGATCAGACCTCCTGTGGGATGCTGGGCACGAGCCAAGGGGGCAGAGGCTGAGGGGAGCACAGGCAGGGGGAAACGGGCAAAGGTGGCATAGGCCGAGGGGGGACCCCAGCCAAGGGGGCACGGGCCGAGGGGGACACAGGCCGAGGGGGGGACCCGGCCAAAGGGGGCCCGGGCTGAGCGGACACGGGCTGAACGGGCACTGCCCCAGTGGGCATGGCCGCAGCCCGGATGCATGGACTCACCCTGCCGGCTGCCCATAAGCACCTCCACCAGCTGAAAGCTCTCGGGACTCTCCGTCTGAGGGTGGAGGATGGGCATCAGGCCTGGGGGAACCCTCAACCCCCAAGGACAACCCTGGACAGCTAGATCGGGCCTGACTGGACACCCCACTGGAGGGTGGTCAGGCCCCCGGACAGGGACCCCCGGGCGTCCGTACCTGGCAGCCGAGGAGCGGCAGAACCTCCAGCACCACTGTCCTGGCCGTGCTCTGCGGGCCCACTCGGAGGGACACGTAGGCCACACCCACCCTGTGGGGCAGACCTGAGGCTCAGGACAGCAAAGCCCCCACCTGTGCCCCTCCCGAGCCCACCTAGAAGACTCCCAATCCCCAGACCTCCTCCCGGCCGTGCCAGCCTCACTCAGCGGACCCCAGACTCAGGGCAGCGGGGGCAGTTTCTCCACCCTCCCAGCCGCCCGGGGTGCCCATGTGACCTGCCCTGGGGTCTCACTTGAGCCAGGCAGGGTAGATCTTCAGCACCTCCTGTGTCCGGGGCAGGGCCCGGATGACCCAGGCCTCAGGCCCCCGGCTGCCCTCATCCCCGGCTGCCTCGCTGCTTGGTGTGGACACGGGGAGGGCCTGCAGCTCGAAGTCTCGGGGGTCCTCGCTGACATAGTACGCCCGCAATGCCGTCTCCTGCAGGGCAGGAGGAGTCAGCAGACCGGCAGGGGGACACGCAGGCACAGCCACCCGGCACCGGGACCTTCTTACCAGCACCTCCTCGCTTCTGGCGAGCCGGGGAACAGTGACCAGTCGGAAGTGGTTTCGCCGCATGGCATCGTTGCCATCAAAGATCTTCAGGGTCTGCTTGCCTGTCCAGAGCGAGGGGCTCATAAGCAGGGCTGGGGTCAGGTGCTGGGGTGGGGCGCGGTGCTGGGGGGATACGTACTCGATTCCGGAGCCGACGGCACCTCTCGGCCTGGGCCTGCGGTGATACTGCTGTCCACACTGTCGTCCCCCTCACCTGCAAGGAACGATAGACGCTGGAGCTGGGCCACAGGGATTGCAGAGGGGAGCACGTCCAGACCTCCAGCCCTGGTTCCCAGGCCTGTGACTTTGACGTAGCATCCCACATTCCGCCTGCTCTCAGGCCAGGCCTGCCTGCTCCGGCCCCACGCACCGGCCTGGGCCCGGCACCCCCACCCATCTCACTACCCCATGAACCCTTTCCATAGGGCACTGGCCTGGGCCCAGCACCCCCTACCACTCACCACAATCCCTACCCCATGAATCCTGTACTGGCCTGGGCCCAGCACCCTCACCACTCAC